TTATAATTGTCAATCCATAAAATTTAATTAGTTTTATTAATAGGGTGTGTTACTATAATATTAATATTTGTTGCCATAGTTTTCATAGATTTTTATAATTTAATAACAATATTATTTTTAATAATAGTTTATAACCTATCTAATTCATACCATTTCCAAGTATTATAAAATATTTTGCATATTAAAATACATTTCAAATAGTTAGTTTTAACTTAATAAAATGATATTCACTTATAAACTAACCATAATAATTGTAATAATTAAAGCAACCGATCTCGCTGAGGTTCCTGCTGGGTTACGACAATTCCAGAATATGGTGGATTTAGTGCAAGGTCCTAAATATGCTTCTGATTGTTTGAAAAGATTATCATGCTACATTAAACCACAAAATTATTCGATCGACGTCATGTGTCACACGTTGTACCGGCAACTTGATTGTGTTAAAAGGAGCTATGTTAGTTTTTAATTAAATGTTTTATAATCGTAGTTCAATTTAAAACAATTTGCCCGTAATAATTTGACTCTGATCAAAACAACAAAATGAGTACGGTACTTATTTGTTATAAACATATTTAAAAATAAGTACTGCATATGATCATAGACAATTTATTACGGGAATTATTTGTTTCAAAGTAAATTGTGCCTATTGCCTAATTATATAAATTTACATATGACCTAGTCAAAATGTTCGAGTGTGGAACGAAAGTCCGTGGATCGTTTTTGGGATAATATATGTTTGGTGCATAATGGGCAAGAAACACAGTTCACTCGCTTATATTGCCTAAATTGGGGCGTTATTGAGCCACGTAATTTTAGCAGAACATCAATGTTTCATGCTACTCTAATTTTAATTTGCATTTTGCTTGTTAATTATCTAATGTGAGAATAGTTCATATAAACCCACACTTTAATACTACTTTACGTGTTTAATTCATCCGATATAACCCAGGTACAATGTAGTGATGCCAATACATTTTGGCGTAATTAAGCCTGATATTATTTGAGCCATTGGTTCTAAACCACTTTGAACATTCATTTCATGTTCAATACCGGTGCTCAACTTTAATTGTTGAGCATAAATTAAATTACCAGCGTTGAGATTAATGATTTTGAAATTATCTAATTTTTACAAATAACAGATTTTTAAAAATCAATAAGGCAACATTTTCTAGAAAACTATTGTATGTTGCATAAAAAATTTATTTTTAAAATTTAATTCATGAATTTAATCACGGAGGTCAATACAACAGCAATACATAAAAATGACAATAATTGTTGTAGAATATTTATAGTTAATAACTATAATCTAATATTTATTAAGCTGACTAAAATGTAAAATGTTAACATTTTTAAACTGTTTGATATTGATAAATCGAGCAAATAAATTAAAATTAATATATTATAATTAATAACTTTTTATTTATAAACAATAATAAGAAAGCCAATTTCGAAAAAATGTTAATTTTATAATCTCTTACTAATAATAAAGTTATTTAATATTCTTTAACAATACAATAAATGTTACAAAACCAAAAACAAACATTGGATTAGGTTTAGACAAGTTGTTTGAATTATAATCATGTTCCCTGCACCAACTATGTGTGTATTTTTTGCTATCCATGGATAATGTGGGCATGTACATTAACCAATAAAAAAGGTGTTTATCCACGTCATCCCTTTCCGATTGACTACAAATGCCCTATATGTAAATTTACTACTTATTATTATTATTAAGTAGACTGTCCAACCGGTTGGACTAAAGGTGTGGACAATGAATGTCTACTAATTTACAACAAGACATATACGAAAAGCAATTATACAACTGCACTGAAAACATGCGCCCAGAAATATAACGCCAAGCTCATTTCAATTAAAAGTGCTGCCAACAATTTTCTAGCCCAGTGGTTTAAGGATCAAAAGTTCGATGCTTACTTTTGGCTAGATGCTACCAGGGTGCTAAAAGCGGACAGCTCGGACAGTTTTATTTGGTCTAATGGCGATCGGCTGACGTACACCAATTGGAACACAGTTGTGGGGGATGAACCAAATGGTAATAAGCTCGGGGACCTTGAGGGTGTCGAGGTTTGTTTAACTGTGCTTGCACCCAGTGACCCGGCTAGTTTAAAATGGGCTGACATACCTTGTCATAGGCCTTATGGAACAATTTGCGAGAGACCTTGTTGCACTTAATCATATGAGTTATATGTTTTATTCTGATTATAATTAAAAATTTTATAATAATTTTTGAAGTATAATTATGTTAACAAAATTAAGTTATTTTAAATGAATATAGATTATGAATTATAATATAGATATTTTTATTTAATTATTAATAATAATAGTTTAATTAAAGTTTTCAACCTTTACTAACATTTAATAAAATTTAATTTCCGGATAATTTTTCAAAATAATTTACAAAACATTTTCAAAAGGATAATGTCTGAATTTATTTTTCTATTTGTTAACTACAAAATAAAGTTTATCAAATTATTATAAAATTAATTTATAATAAATATATAAAAATGAATATATAAAAAATTATCAACAATATGTTGATTGTAACTTGTTTAGAATAACTATTGTAAAAAATTACATAATCTATGTTTATATTAGGTTTACTAAAAATGAGCTTGGATTTGTAAATGTCATTTTATATTAATTATACAATTTAACATTTTTTTATAAAGTTTGATTAATCATATTTTCTAAAACAAATTTTTCAAATATGTCTACACGTTGCTTAAACAACCAATTTGTCCAGTACTATAAAATAAATTTTAAAAATCAATATATTAAAAAATTGAGACAAATAAATATCATGCCTTACTGTTCATAATTGTGTGATATTGGTAATTTTAAAGTAATTCAAACCATTTACTGAACCACACAACACGTAACATTTCTGGATAAAAATGTCGCTATAAAACATATTTTTTTATAAAAAACATAATACATTAGGTTGAATAATATTAACAAGTATCTTTTTCGCAATTAAATCTTAGCTACTAACATTTCTTGCAGCAGTATTTGCGTTGAAAATTTAAAAACATTTGCCACCATTCATCATGGCATTTCTCCTTGCTAACTAAACGGTGATCCGGTGGACAGGTGGCATGGTTGAACTCAACGCACCCTGTCCAATAACATGTCTCCACAGCAACAGGGCCAATTGAGAGTCCTAATATGACCACACAGCATATAATTGTCAATGTAACTCGGTTCATTTTAGTTAATGAAAAATTTGAATACAATTTTCAATATATTTACGTATTGGTAAGTATACATTTTATTACTTTTTAAATATATTTTATTTGCATTTCCTTTATATATATACTGTAGTTATATTATATATCTCAAATACTTTTTACATGAATATTCTAGTTTCTAGACACTAAAAAAGTGTTTATAGTTATAATCTATATTTTACTCATAGATTAAATATATTAAATACATATATCAGTGGATAGAAAACCCTTTGAATGTGAAGTATATAGGTTTAAAGCTAAAAAAAATTGATTATGAGTATTGATAACAAGTATGAGTATGCTACATAAGTACAACTTAATAAACCTTTTATCTTTAAACCTATATACTTCACATTCAAAGGGTTTTCTATCCACTGATATATGAATATTTGTATATATAATATTTGAAAAAATTTAAAAACTATATATTATAGCTACTTTAGTATATATAAACATTATACTTTGTACTGAAGCTGATTAAGTCAGACTATATTATTTAATGACAAATTTTGTTGAGATTAATTTTAAAGTTGAGAATATATTTATAAAATACATAATTTAATCTAAGTGTTCTTGAGTGTTTAACAAAATTTACAATATAGCCATTTAAAGCTGGTACTTGTAATAGGTATTTAGAAATAAAATTAAATAAATAAATTCAACAAGCTGATAGTATTTGAATTTATGATATTTTTATCTAAATGTCTAGACGTGATAATAGTCTATGACATAAACTGTCTATGTATATTTTTAGTTATTAACTCACATGTATTGTGTATAAATTAAATATTGCATTTACACATTAATTTTAAATTTTATTCAATATAACTCTAACAAAATTAAATTAATCAATATTTATTAGGTCTCAACCTTTCACCATTAGCCTTGCAACCATGTTTATTCAAAATAGCTTGTTCAAGGCGATTTTTCAAATGCTCCATCAAGTCATTTATTATCATTGGCTCCAGGACTATTTAATAAATATAGATTACAATTACGATTGTTAAAATAAATAAATTATAACCTTTCACGAGGTTGCGTTTAATCAAATGTTACATAATATCGTTGACTGAACCTGGATCACTTTTACATTCGTAATCATGTTCATCTTTCATATCATATTTAACAGTTTTGGTAGCTATAAAATATGATAAATAATAAATCTTAAAATAATACATTTAAATTATTACCACAATCTAAGTATTAAATACAATCAAAAATACTAAATATAATCAAAAACATTGATGATAAATTATGTTATTAAAATTAAACTCAAATTTTGTTTTAAAAATAAAATATATAACTTATGTAAAAATAATTGGTCATAAAATTTATTTATTAAAAATATATTTATTTTATAATTAAAAGTATTAATTCTATTTATATATAAATCTAATCACTATTATTTAATTGATTTTGATAATTATTAAATTAATATTGCCATTCAGTTCGTTGACTAATAAAAGACATAGTATATTTAAGTTATTAAAATATAAAACTTATTATCAACTATATTTTATATTAATATCATAAAAATAATCCCTTTTCGGGTGAAATGCTTGATAACTTATTTCAATTCTAACTAATAAAGTATGATTGATTTAATGCTACTTGCTCAAATAATAGTTTTCGACAAAATAATGTTATTTTCCAATTAATTAAAGTCAACGCGAATTAATATTTAAAAATTTAATATTTAATAGTATTTAATCAATAAGAAATCAAGCCTTAAAGTCACTAGCAATAAAATCATTAATGTTATCATGTTCATATATAAACAACATTAATTACATGAAATATGTCATTTTTACAATATATTTACGAGGTTGTTATACTTTGTGCAACCTATTGTTATATTTATAAGGTAGATAGTTTTATCAAGCAATTGTTTAGATTTTATAGATCAATAAAATAATAATATATGTAGCTAAAGTGTAATGTAAGTTTTCTATAAATACACAATAAAGCACACATAATTCAATATGTTAATAATATATATACTGTATAAGGAGAAATTAATATTTAACAATGAAAATAACTATATTATTGTTAAATCTTGCCGTTGTTTGCTTTTCAGGTGACCATTAATTAGTATTTTCAAATAAATATTAAATATTACATTTTAAATTAGCTAATACCTGCGGTAATGATAAATATTGTGGTAATAATTGTCAACTAATCATCAATGGTGGTTCTGTCACGATTAACAATGGCAATTGTATTAACACTACATGCGACACAAATTGCGGTGATTATGATAATTATTAAGATTTATATAAAATTCAAAAAATCAAAATCACGATTTTTATATCTATGAATTTTATCATTATTTTTTACAGTGCATTATTGCAAATTTGATAAAAATTAAGATTTTACAATTTTATAAAATATATTTATTATTATAATTAAGTAGACTGTCCGTCCGGTTGGACTAAAGGTGTAGACAATGAATGCCTACTAATACCCGACAAAACTTCTTACGGAACCAATTATACAACTGCACTGAAAACATGCGCTCAGAAATATAACGCCCAGCTCATTTCAATTAAAAGTGCTGCCAAGAACAATTTTGTAACCCAGTGGTTTAAAGATCAAAAGTTCGATGCTTACTTTTGGCTAGATGCTACCAGGGTGCTAAAAGCGGACAGCTCGGACAGTTTCATTTGGTCTAATGGGGATCAGCTGACGTACACCAATTGGGAATCAGGTATAAATGAACCAAATGGCAATATACCTGAGCACCTGGATGCAGTTGAGGTTTGTGTAAGCGTGTAAAATGGATGGACGTACCTTGCTATCAAACATGCGCTCAGAAATATAACGCCCAGCTCATTTCAATTAAAAGTGCTGCCAAGAACAATTTTGTAACCCAGTGGTTTAAAGATCAAAAGTTCGATGCTTACTTTTGGCTAGATGCTACCAGGGT